CTACCAATGATTCACTCCAATCATTATAAGTACAGTAAACATCAATACTACCGATGATTCACTCTATTCATTATAAGTACAGTAAACATCAATACTATCGATGATTCACTCCAATCATTATAAGTACAGTAAACATCAATACTACCGATGATTCACCCCAATCATTATAAGTACAGTAAACATCAATACTATCGGTGATTCACTCCAATCATTATAAGTACAGTAAACATCAATACTACCGATGATTCACTCCAATCATTATAAGTACAGTAAACATCAATACTATTGGTGATTCACTCCAATCATTATAAGTACAGTAAACATCAATACTATTGGTGATTCACTCCAATCATTATAAGTACAGTAAACATCAATCACATCAGTTATGATTAAAGACTGGTGAAGATTTATCAAAATTTGGACTATGAAGTTTACTGAAAGGCGAAGTTAACTTCTATCTCAACTTCAGTGCCAAAACTTGGTTTTTAGTTAAATCAGTAACAAAAAAATAACAATTTTAAGTTGTATGGTATATTACAAATAGAGATGTCTTACAGGTTTGAAAATTGAAAAGTGAAAAGTCATAAGAAAAAATAAGGAACAGCATTGCAATGGCATGCCTTCAGTTGAAAATATGACATTTTTCATCCTCCAGCTGAGAGAGATGGTGTTTAGTGTATTGTTTTAGATTTTTTCTTGATTTACAGCTAAGTTAGTGTTAGTTGGAATCAAGTGCTTTAACTGACAGCAATGGTACTATATGTTAAAGTATTTTGATTGGGCTTAATTTCAGTTGAGCCTGTTGTAGACAGTGATCAAGAAGTGGCTATGAATAAGTCTCCATACTCTAAATGTTGATAAAGATTTTCAGCATTAACAAGTAACTGTGATCAATACAGCATTACAGACAATCAGTAACCAAAATAGTAACCTGAGTTAATAAAAATAATTTTGAATTTGAATTCTGCTGTTTCTTTTTTGGATCTCAGTATTGATGGTTATTATTCTTTGATTTGCAAAGGCTACAATAAGACATGTTTGGTTCACACCTTTGCATTAATTCACTTATTTGTTAAGAAATTAAGTTTGAATTCTCTGACCATTCTTTTATGTGCTTTCGCTTCGCACCTCTTCGCTCAATTACTTTTCTTTATCAATTACTGTTCTTTATCATTTTCTTTCTCAAGACTTCACTCTATTAAATGTAGTTTCTGACTTAGACTTCACCCTATTAGATGTAGTTTCTGATTAAATTGACCAGCCAATCAAAATGACTTTAATGATTGGGCATTGGTGACTTTAATGTCACACTGAATGACTTCATTCTAACACCACTGATCCTGCTGGAATTTAAGCTTATAACCTCAGCTTATAATTTTTTACTCAAATAGTTAACTTGTTTTCCTGACAATCATAATCACTTACCTTCACTCCTTGAAATAATGCTTGTCTCTGACCTTAGCTTGTGTTCAGTTTCTCCTTGTTCTCCTTTAGATTACTCCAACCATGCAATGATCTCTATGAATCTTTCACCTTGTACTTCTTCATCTAACTCCTCCTATCATCGCACTGCTTACTACTACTCTAAAACTGACTGGGATTCTCTTCATGATTTTTTTCATGATGATCCCTGGGATGTCTCTTGTCTCTCCACTGTTGTCAGCTATAGAAGCTTTTAATCCTTCTCTTCAGTTTCAAGTCAAGCCTCATTCTACTCCATAGTTTTCACTTTCTTGTGCAGCTACTATATCTAAATGTAATCATTTTTTTCAACTTTTTCACAGGAAAAACTATCTTTAGAAAAAACAATGATGCTAAACTCCATTATTTCATGTTTACAAAATCTTATATCAATTACAAAAAGTGTGTAGAAAAGCAGGATATAAAACTTTTAATCAGACTTAAGACTAGAGACAATAACATCAATAAATAAATATAAACTACCAATCAACAACCATCCAAGAGTCTACCTTATTAAATTTCAAGGCAACAAAAGGTATATTGGTGAATCAAAAATGCAGATAAAACAGTCCAACATAAAATAGAACAGAACAGTCTGTATTAATCACACACAAAAGACATTCCACGTTACAAGTTGACTGGGACAGTATATATACATATATTTATAGAAGAAATAATAGTAGTTAAATAACTATTGTACTAAATAATTTGACAGGAAAGTTTATGAGACACCTGAAATACAGTACTGCTAATGTGCCTCTCAACAAAACAACATCAATCTAGACGAGGGACAATATGTATCAAAAAAATGTTGGACACTAATGTTTAAGCATTTATGTCAAATTAAGATGAAACTATCACATTGATGTAAAATAGAACTGCTGTTTAAAAATAAAAAAAGAAAAATAAACAAACAACTTTTAAGCGAAGACACTGGTCACAATAATTTAATGAAAATTACCTATAAAAATAAATATTGTATTAAGAGAAACACCTATTTGTTGATGTCTTCTTAAAATATTCATTTTTTTATCTCTTATACATTGTTGCTTTCAATATATATATATATATATATATATATATATATATATATATATATATATATATATATATATATACATATAAATATAAATATATATACACGCTAATAGTTTTATATAACCAGTTCAAGGTGTTAGCCAGCCTAATGGCACTAAAAATTACAAAATTTAATAACCTTTTTTTTATTATTTGAAGTAATAGAGCAGTTTTAATAAAAATTCCCAATATTTTGTAAAATAATAACAATAAATATTCACAATATTGCAAAAATGCAGTGAAAAAAAGATTCCTGGCTAACACCCTGCGGTTACAAAAGAATAAAAAAATGTTTGAAATCTTAAACTAACAAAGCTACTAAATTAATATTTTAGTGGCTTGTTTACATTACATTTATTTACATTAACGTAATGTAAACAAGGATTAAATGAGTATCGTGTTTTTATTATTGAAAAAATAATAAAGTTTATTTTATGGTTTATAAAGTTTTTATTCATACAATATATTGTTTTAGGAATTAGAATCTGAAAGGCAGTACACCCTTGCAGAACATCATTATTTAGAGGCAGAAGACTGGAAAGCTGCAGTGAACATGTATAGAGGGCAAGAGTTATGGGAAGATGCTTTTAGAGTAAATATTTTTGCCTATTTTTTGTAATAATTTTAAAATACAAAATTTAGAAAAAAAATTTTATTAAAAAAAAAAATTATCTAGATAAATTTCCTTTAGCTATGGTATATTTAGACTAAAGTTCAAAAAATCTATTTTTACCTATATTTAAAGATAAATTCTTTTTCTTCTAATAAATAGCTAACAAGTACTTCATACAGGTTACAAAATAAAAAGAAATGTGAATTAATAACAACTGATATTTTTTAAAGGGGTATCTTAAGCTATGATGCTAATTCAACTAAATGAATATGCTTTTTAATTTTTTATTTATTTTAATTTTGTTTAATATTTCTTTACTCTTTTTGTTGTATTCAATATAATATTTGTTGCATCCAATAAAATTTAGGTTGCAAAACAGTACGGTGGTGTTAATTCATCAAAACAAGTTGCTTTTCTATGGGCTAAGACATTGAGCGGAGATTCTGCAATCAAACTTCTACAAAAGTTTAATATGCTTGATAGTTGTATAGAATATGCCACTGATACTGCGTAAGATTATGCTAATAATTTTCATGATATTAATGCTTGTTTGTAAGTTATGATAATTCGAAAACAAAAATGAGATTAGAATTAATTTGTATATATTGTAATGTTCTTTGTAATGTAAAGGTTTAATTTAAATCTCTTGAGTTGCGATTCTTCTAAAATGAAATTATTGTAAGATAAAAACATTTAAATTTTAGGAGCTTTATTTATTTTTTAGGCAATTTGATTTTGCATTTGAATTAGCACGAACTTCATCTAAAGAAAAAATATCAGAAATCCATGCAAAGTATGCAATGTTTTTGGAAGATGAAGGTCGGTTTAAGGAAGCTGAAGAACAGTTCATAAAAGCTGGAAAACCTAAAGAAGCTGTCCTTATGTATGTTCATCAAGTTGATTGGACCAATGCGACTCGAGTTGCTGAACAACATGATCCCAATAGTTTAGTTGATGTTTTGATAGCGCAAGTATGTTTCTGTAAAATTTATTTGTTTCTATTACTTAAGTTTTCTGATATAAAAATTACATTTATTTTTAAACATTTTTACACTAGGCTAAAATTTCATTTGACAAGAAAAATTATGAGGAAGGAGAAAGTTTTTTGCTGCGTGCTCAACGGCCAGAAATTGCCATTAAGTTTTATAGGGTATGGTTTTTAACTTTGTTTTCTTTAATAAATATTTATTTGAAATAATCAAATATTAATTACGAATGCATATTTACTTTATTCTAAGAATTGATTTAAATTTTTTGTTGCTAAGATTTTTTATATATACTTTACTAGGCTTTGATATCTGTTTTTTTAAAACTATTTTGTGCCTCTGTATTTTATGTCTATGTATATCTTTAAGCAAATATTAGTATGTAAAAAGTAATTATTTTATAATTGTTTTATAATATGTTTGGAAATTCTCTAAGCGCACTTGTGCCGATTTGCACTTATGCAGTTTGCACTTATGATTTGCACTTACTTATTCAGTTTGTACTTACTTACAATTTGCATTTACTTGTGCAGTTTGTCCAATTATCCAGGTCCCACTTATGCAGATTCACTGTTATAGTTATGAAATTCACACTTAATCAGTCACCCTCTGTTTAATAATGATAGAAATTTCTTTGTTATGATTGTTCTTTTAGAAAACCATATTTTTATTGTTATGGAAATATAAATGACTAGTATTTATATTGTTTTAAATTCCAACTTCTAAATAAAAACAACTATTTTATAATTACTTTATAATTGTTCAAACACTTCTTACAATTTTTTTTTTTTTACTTTTTTTAGGAAAACAATATGTGGCAAGATGTTTTGAGAATTGCAAAAGAATATCTTCCTCACAAAGTTAGATGATCTGCTCTTTTTATAATTTTTTCTTATTTTATAATAAAGAAAATTATAAATATAATAATTTTTTTTGGGGGCATATTTTATATTGTTTTAATATATTTTTTTGTATCTTAGTTAAATAGCTTGCAGGATGAGTATGAAAAGGTTGCATCTATGAGTCGCAATGATAAGTAATAATCTTTATTATATATCTACCTTTAATAATTTACACAGCTGTTTATATACCTGTTTACTTATATACCTGTTTATTTATATGCCTGTTTATTTATATACCTGTTAGAATTTATATATCTACATGCTATAATTTATATACCTACCTGTTATAATTTATATATCTATATCTTGTACTTTATACATCTACTTGTATTAATCAATAAAATTAATTTAAATATTGTAATTTAATACAAAAACAATATAATTACATAGAGGAGCAGAATCATTTATTTCACAAGGTCGTGATTGGGAAACAAGGGCAGAGTATAATCGTGCTATTGATCTTTATCTAAAAGTGACACCTGAAATGACAAATAAAAAAGAACTTTTAGAAAAAGTTTATTCAAAAGCTGTTGAGTTAGCAGTCAAGTTTTCAAAAGACAGAGCAATCAGTGTTACGCAAGAAGTGTGCAAACGGCTGCTTACTTTAGAACTTTACGAAACGGTATTATTTTATATACTAAATTTATTTGCCATTGATTTAAAATATATTTATATAAGCTTATTCATGCAGTTTTTATTCATTATATAAGTTTATTCATGTTTATTATGTTTAACTAAATCTTTAATTTAAATAGTAAACACATTAGATTTGGCTGGAAAATATATCATTATATACAAGTCAGGTAAATTTGCCACTTGCAAAATGTGTGGTGTAAAAATAATGTGCAAACGGTTTTCTACAAGCGGTCTCCTTGGTCATTTAAAAAATGCACACAAAGAAGTGTGTATTTAGTTATAAACTATATTTTTTGTACCTTGCCTAAAATCATAGATTATTTTTTTAAGGAAATTTTTGGAATTCCGGAAATTCACTTAAAAATTTTTTAATTTTCCTAAAATTTCCGGATGTTTTTTGTTATTAATTTGAAAAAAAATTTATATATTTTTACATAAAATTATAAATATGGAAACTTTTGCATTTAAACAAATATGTTTTCTATAATTAAAATTTTCATGAGATTTTTGTAACAATTTTTTTCTTTTTTTTTTTTGCTTTTTATTTCAATCAAATTAACTTTTTCGAATATTAGAAATTCCTTTTTGTAAAAAGTTAAATAAAATAAATTCCATTTGAAAAGTTTACGAAAGTTTTTGTTGTCTGTTAATACGATCAATTTTTAATAAAATAATTTTCTGGGAATTTCATAGAAAAACATTTCCAGGATTTTTATCAAATACTCATCTATGACTAAAAGAGAAAGGGTATCATTTAACACGTTCACGCCGGCGCCGGCCGGCCATTTAAAGATCCTCACCAGATCTGTGGCAACAGTATTCTATAGAAGGGCAGTTTGAGATTTATAAAGATAATGAAAATAGTCCCGAGTAAGAAAGTGGCAAGCACGATAAAGAGATGCAACCTTAGCATTGCTAATTTTGCAATTAATTTGATATATGTTTCCCAAGAATAATTGGAACTAAAAGTTAATTCTAGAAGATGAAGGGCAGATGACTCATTAAGTACATTACTGCTCATAAATAAAGGAAGATCTAGATAAATGCGATAACATTTAGCTGAAAAAAATGGAATTTTATCTTAGTTAAATTTCACAAGCCGCTGAGAGCCCCATGCTGTTGCAGAAGTGACATCCTTCTCAAGCTCACATGCCCCCTCTAAGCAATCAGAGAGTGTTGGCTTTTTATCAAGACAAGAATGAATGTTAGTATCATCAGTGAATAATACCACCTTATGAGAATTTCTGGAAGATCGTTAATGTAAATTAAAAAAAGTATAGAGCCAAGGATAAAACCTTGAACCTCCACATCTATCTAATGAATGATAAAACCTATCAGTTATTACTGTTAACAAATCATCAGTAAAATGAAAAGATTGAAATCCATATTGTTGACCAGAAAATAAGTTATAAGATTCAAGATGAGATTAAGTGTTTGTTAAATAAAGACTGAAAAACTTTACTTATGATAGTAAGAAGACTAAAAGGAAGGCAGTTAGACGAGTCAGATCACTCCAGAATTTTTGCAAACAGGGATAACAGGAAAAATATTTGGAATAGGGATATGGAATATGCCACTTTCTAGCAAGATGGAAAACAAGACTCTGATAAGCACTTATTAAATAATTTTGAAAGTAGAAGAATGAGATGATAGTTTTAGAGGGATTAAACTGTGATTAGAAGCACCTAAAGGTGAATGTGGAGAAACTCACCACTGACTAGGATCAAAAACTAGATTTAAAGACAAATCAAAAATTGATTTAAAAATGATGTATTCATATAAAGAAACTAGGTTGAAAATTGGAAATGTGCAAAATAATAACACTGTTTTTTAACAACAGACTATTGAGAAAATTGTGTCAAAGCTAGCTATGCTGGATGGCTTTTCTCCCATATCAAAAGTAAATTTATTAGTAAACCATTGTCTGAAAAAAGCATGGTATTACCCAAAGACCCATCCCATGTTAGGAATATATTAAAAAACAAAATGATATATATATATATATATATATATATATATATATATATATATATATATATATATATATATATATATATATATATATATATATATATATATATATATATATATATATATATATATATATATATATATATATATATATATATGTATGTATATATATATAATTTTTATTATATTTTGATTTTATGATTTTGGTTTAAAAGATTTTAAAACTTGATATTTTTTTTAGGCAAGTGATTTGTATTCTGTAGTAAAAATGCACAAAGAAGCAATAAATGCATGTATTTCTGGAGAACTCTGGCAGCAAGCAAGATCTATAGCTTCTGATATTGCTCCAAAGTAACCTTTTAAAATATTTTTTTTATTTGATTAGATAGGTTTATAAAAATTATTGTTTGTTGATTGGTAATATTTATCTATAATTATTCATTACAAAATGATTTTGTGGGTGAAAATTTTGAAAAAATACAATTCCACTTCCTCCTCCTCTTTACCTTACCTTGCTAAATCATACCTTTACATACCATACTTTATTTTACTAAAGTTGATATTGAGTTTATATAGTTTATACCAGCCTAAACATGCTTTTTATACCAGTCTAAACATGCTGTTAAAGAAATGTATTAATTACTTAGGTATGAGGAATATGTTGAAGAAAAATATGTTGAGTATCTCAAGAGTAAACAGATGGCTGAAAAGGTTTTTCTTTTTTCATTAAATTTTAGTTTTTTTATTGAAATGTTTTATTAATTGATTCTAAGGTATTATAACTAATATACATTATAATTATACTAATCATATTTATTAATTAGTTATTATTATGTTTAGAAGTATGTAATTTATTTAATAATTAGTTTTATAATAATAAATAATTTTTTAAATGCAAAGTATTTTTTAAATGCAAACATTTTTTTAACATTTTATTTAAAACACACGATAAAATTTTTATTAGTTAATATTTAACAACAATTGAAACCTAAAATCAATCATGATTTATATGATTATATTATTATAATGAATATAATAAATCAATTAAATGCGGTAGTGGTGTAGTGGTAGAGTGCTCGCTTCATAAATGAGTGGTTCTGAGTTCGATTCCCACCACATCCCTGGTAGTACCCCGCTCAACTTGTTTTTCTGCGCAGGGGCCTTGTTCGTCAAGGTTCGTGTTTTGGACTTATAGAGTTGAGAGAGTTATAGAGTTTCTCATTTGTTGGGAAACTAGGTTTGAATCCACAGACTACTCTTTTATGTGCTTTCGTTAGCACCACTTCACTCTATCGCCTTTCTCTTTGTTCTATATCGCTCTCCTTCATCTCAAGACTGCACCCTTCTTAATGTTATTTCTGATCAAATTGACCAAGGCCTCTCTTTTTATTCATCAGCCAATATTGTTATTGTTGGTGACTTTAATGCTCATCACACTGAATGACTCTAGTGTCAGTGGCTCTGCAAGCCTCACTCTTCTCCATGGTTTTCCTCACATTGTGCTGCTGTAATTGCCAATCGAAACCATTAATTCCATATCTATCAACGAAATAATTCTCCAGAAGAAAGATGTCTGTTTACTATTGCTAGAAACCATTGTAAAAAGGTTTTGTCTAATGCCGAAGCCCACTATTCTCAGGTCATGAAATTTTGTATTTTATCACAAAAGTTAGGCTCTCATGACTTCTGGAGAATCTTTAACAGTATCAATAGTAAGGGCAATCTGTTATTTCACCTCTCTTGTATGGTTCAGATTTTGTCATCTCACCTAAAGACAAAGCTGAATTGTTTGCCAAGAACTTTTCATCAATATCATCTCTTGATTCCACTAGTTGCGTTCTACCTGATATAGTCTTCAAACAGGTTGATCCATAGTTTGACATTTGTATCACTCCAGCTTCTGTATCTAAAGTTTTCACTCCAGTCTTCTGTATTTAAAGCTGTAGAAGAGTCTAAGAAGATTTCTTGCTTAGACTCTTCTAAAGCTTGTGGTCCAGACAACATAGTCTTGTTGTAGTTATAGTTGTAGTCTTGCAGAAGTGTTCCCCGAAGTTTTCATCCATGCTTTCAAATCTATTTAACAAGGGTTTATCTTCATGCTGGGAAGAGTCTTTCTTCCCAGCATGCTGGAGAGCGGCATTTGTTATCCCTATTTTCAAAAATTCTGAAGAGCAATTTGGCTTATCTAACTTCCATCCTATTAGTCTTCTTCCTATCATAAGCAAGGTTTTTAAATCTTCAATCAACAAATACTTATCTCTCATCTTGAGTCTAATAATTTACTTTCTGATCATCAATATGAATTTTGATGTTCTTGCTCTTAAGCTGATTTGCTAACAGTAATAACCAATAGGTTTTATTGTGCATTAGATAGAGGTGGAGAGTTTAATGCTCTCGCTCTTTACAATTCTAAAGCTTTTGATAAAGATTGGCGTGCTGGTCTTCTCCGTAAGCTTTTTTCTTTCAGTGTATTTGGTAACATCTTTAAGATTATTGAATCCTTTCTTTCATATCGTAGTATAAAGGTTTTCCTTGATGAACAGCACTCTTCTTCATATCCTGTAACTTCAGGAGTTCTTCAAGGTTCTATCCTTGGCCCTATACTCTTTTTAATTTACATTAACAATCTTCCGGATATTCTCACATCTAAGGTGGCATTGTTTGCTGATGATACTATGATTTATTCTTGTCATGATAAGAAGCCAACACTCTCTGATTGCTTGGAGGGGGCATTTAAGCTTAAAAAGGATCTTACTTCCACTACAGTCTGGGGCTCACAATGGCTGGTGTACTTTAATTCAGATAAAACCCAATTTTTTTCAGCCAATCGTTATCGCAATAATTTAGATCTTCTTATAATTATGAACGGTAATGTACTCAATGAGTCATCGACCTTTCATCTTCTAGGATTACTATTACTTCAGATCTTTCTTGGAAACCGTATATAGAATCCATTGCAAAATAATCTGCTAAGGTTGCGTCTCTTTATCGTGCCTGACACTTTCTTACTCTGGACTCTATTCTTTATCTCTATAAATCTCAAATCCGTCCTTGTATTAAATATAGTTGCCATATCTGGGGCAGATCTTCTAATGATGCCCTTTTCTCTTCTAAACAAAGTGCAAAAATGCATTGTAAACATAGTTGGACCTGCTCTTGCAGCCAACCTCCAACCATTATCACATCGTCGCAATAATGGTCTTTTTTTTCTTTTCTAAAGAGCTTGCAACTTTTGTGCCATCTAGTAAAGTTCATTCTCCTGTTACTTGTCATTCGATTAAGTCTCATTCTTTTTCTGCGACTGTTCCTATGTGCTTCAAAAACTCTTATTCATCTAGTTTTTTTCCTCAAACATCAGTTATTTGGAATTTGCTTCCTTCATCTTCCTTTCCTGATTCATATAATTTACAATCTTTTAAGTCGTCTGTCAAAAGTTATCTTGTTCTATAAACTTTTCTCTTCCAGTAACTTCCAACTCTAATAGTGGTTGCTTGCAGCCTTGTTGGAAGCAAAGATGTTAAAATATATTTATATATATATAAAACATAAATAATAGTAGCCTAATATTTTCTATATTTTTTCGTTGTATTTAGATTTAAATAGATTAGATAAAACTGTTCCAAAATAAATCTTAACAAAATAATGTTAAAAAAGCAATTATTTTAAAGTTTTTTTAATAAAATTTTTAAAAATTTTATTAATAAAAGTTCACTAGCTTTTAGACTCAAATTATTACCAAATAATAAACGAAGTGAATACAATATGTAACTTCTTTTACTGCAACATTTTTCACGTTTTTGTTAGTATAATGGTGTATATTTAATGCATAAACTTAGGTTAAAAAAAAATCTCCTTAGCTCAAATTAATATTTCTTATCAGCCAAATATTACAACATAATGGGAATTCGCTTTAGTCAAACATTCATTGAGTTAAACTATATTCCTTAGTCCTTTGGATGATTATTACATACTGTATAAATCTGGAAAAAATAAAAAAAAAATAAAGATATTTTTACTTTCCCCTATCTAATTGCTGGTGGAGGGAGGGGGTAAATTTCTGATTTTTGGAAAAAATTTCCTCAATTTCAAATAATTACTACCCCCCCCCCCCCCCCCAAACAAAGAATATTTTAGTAGTAAACATATTGATTCTTTTTGCAATTGTCTTCCAATAGTTTTGAATTGTCCCTCTATTTTTACAAGGCATGGCAACAGGGAGTTCCTACACCGACATTAAACGTCTTCTATCTTGAGAAAGAGTTGTTTAACAAATTTTAAATCTTGATTATCTGAGAGTGGACTTTCAGAATCTGCATCCACTTCCCTGTCAGTTGGGGATAAATCAGATTGCTCGTTGGCTTTGTCATTTTTACTATCTACATCTGAGTTATTGATTTCATTTTTATCCAAATCACCCCCATCACCCTCATACAGCCTCTATGCCTTCGTTGGCAAGTTCTTCTTCATTATGTTGGGAACATTTTCCTCTATAAACACCTTCAGGAGGTGTTATCTGTTTTTATAAATATTTTAAACTTTCTGGTTGTTTCCATTTAATTAGCTCCTTACTGAAGTCTAGCACTCCTTCCCTACAAGATCCATAATTTTCTTTCTAGCCAAGTAATCTCCAGAACCATCAAAAGCCAGAGTCATCATATTTTTCTTGTAAACATCTTCACAATCAATTTTACGGTAAACTTTATCCCATGCATCGTTGAACATTAGTATCATCTGATACCTAGATGGCACTGGTATTTTGTCTGAATGTTTAATAAGAAAGTCCAGCATCAATTGCATTTACTTTTTCCTGTAACCAGCTTTGCTTTCTCTATGATATGAGGTATCGTTTACTTTGACATCCCCAGTTATGCCACTACCGATATGTATTAAAAAGTAACCTTTTCGAAAAAGAACAGAATTGATTGAGGAGACAGATGAGCAGAATAGTCATTAAGTGTAAATTTAATTCGTTTTGAAGGTAAAAATGCCACTGGGATTGTTGGTAATTTAGGCCATAACTAACAAAGGAACTACTGACTTGGAACGCCATGTTCACAGTGAGAAACATAAAAGCCTAATTAAAGTATCAACGTCATCAAATAAGTTTGCGTCTTTTTTTCAGCCTAAAAACTCAAAGGTGTTGCAGAAAGCTATGTGGTCACTTATAAATAATGAATGAGAAAAAATTAACTTTTTTTGATAATTTGAAAGAAAAAAATCTAAAAGAAAAATTACAACCTCTAACCTCCCAATCTAATGACCCGCTCCCCCAATCAACTCTAATTTGAAACCCACCCCAACAAATACAAAACCCCAATCTATGATTTTTTTACTGTTGTGTCTATTCCCCTTGAACTATTTGACCCTCCTCCCATCCTCTATAGTTAGGTAGGGGAGAGTAATGCTTAAAGGTTTATTAAAAAACTAAGTAAATACTAGGGTAAACTGAGGTAAAGTGAACTATTATTACAGCATTAAAAACTGAGGTAAACTGAGGTAAAGTGAACTATTATTACAGCATTAAAAAAATAATATTAATTTAAAATTTAATTTAAAATAATAAAACTAATAATAATTTCTAAAATTCAAAAAAAGGTTGAGGTAAAGTGAACTTTTTTGACTTGTTAATGTTTGTTATTTTTTGTTAAAACCAGTTGTATTTTGTGTTGTATTTTTTTATTTAGTTTTTTGGCTTTTCATTAAGTGCATTG